ATCACTCACTCGTGTTAGTGTCAGTTCAGGTGAACTGTGGTCACCAGCTCAGGGGTGAACTAAGGGGTAACTAAAAAGTCTATCACCTGTTGTTTCAAGAGATTAGAATGGTTCAGTGACCTGAAACCTTTAAAAAATATCTGCTGGCAAACTGGGGACACCCCGTTTCGCCGTAGCTGCTAAAACCGTTATCAAGCAAGTGATGTCTAGTGGGTAGTCCCGTAAATTAGACTTTTGGGTCGAGGTAAAAATCCTTGGATGTTTGATGTTGTGACGACGGGGTGTCCTCCCGAATAGGTGTCCTCCCATTTGTGAGAACTCCCAGTTGTGAGACACATTAATTAATGGTTCAGTGCACACAGGTGGTGCTTCCCCATCCCTACGATGAAAGTGGGAACAGCCCTGTTTTCAATAAATACTAAATTACTGAAAAAGATTATCCCGAACTGCATACAGATCAACACTCTCAACTGTCTTAACGACATGGTTTCTTAAATACCAAGAGACCACAACCACGGACCTGTACATAACGAGGTCAAGGTAAATCTTTTCGGCTGTAGCAAAAACATTGACAATTTATAAAAAGATAAAAAGGTAAAAGCAAACTCAATCTTGAATATATTGTGTATTCCTCATTGCCTAATGTACAGACTACATATTAATACTATGGATATGTTAATGTATAGTTTAAACATGTTTTCATAATGAAATGGAGAGGTATTCAAATAAGCCATTACGGCTTGTTTACCAATCCTAGTTCAATTTAGTTTGAATAAAATATGTTTACACTAACATGTTTTCTTCAAGTAATCATGGCGGGATTGGCAAACAAGCATAAACATGCATATCAATGCCGATCCATAACAATAATACAATTACATAGATAGTGATGAACACTGTGTGCAAATCATAATGGAAATCCACAAGGGCAATATTAAAAATATTGCATGCAACTTACTCTCTGGTGTCCTCCGATCAGTTAGACGTCCCATTTGTCAGACACGTTAAATCAACAAAAGCTATGGTTGGTTGCACTCGGGTACACTGCACTGTTACCTTTATTGGGTAATTGATTGATCCAAAGTTATGTGCATAAGAATATATTAAGCAATATAATTAATAGGGCTGTAATGAATTGCAATTATTCCGAAAACAATTGATCGATGGTAGAAATGAAAAACTATCGATGCATCGATAGTATGTGTGACTATCGATAGTTTAGTGATGGTTATTTATTCTTATTACATATTTGTGTTGTTTTGATTTTTTAAATTGTTTAGGTGCAAACTTGCAGCTTCATTGAGTTTATGTTTTAACTGTTTACTCGATCTTGGTTTCAAGTTTCTTGTCAGCTATTCATAGGGGGAGCAGAGGAAGCCCAACAGCCCGTCGTATCCACCTCTGTACCTCTGGGAGTAACTCAATTAATTACATGGGAAATCTATAATCCTGTTTTGATGAACATTATGAACACAAAGTGGGAGAAGTCATGCTCCTGATTTGATCAAAGTGAGCATTATGAACACAAACTGTGAAAAGCCGAAGTCAATAAACATTAGTATTCTGTCGTTTTTCTTTTATCTAAAGTTAATCAAGAGGTCCCACGCACTTGGCAGGTATACACCTTGATCACGATTCAGTGCTGGTTTATGTCTCCTCCGGGCAAATGGAAGAGGATCTAGCAATGGAAGCCCCAACCCTAGAGGATGTGTATACCAAATACCATGCAGCTGTGGCAATCAATATATTGGCGAGACTCTCAGGCCCATTAACACCCGGGTTGCTGAACACAAGTCGTCAGTATGCAAACAAAATGATAAGTCAGCTATATCGGAGCACAAGGCAAATAACCCAAGTCATGTAATCATGTGGAATGATATCAGGGTGCTTTCGAGAAATAACAACGACTGGCGTCGGAGAAAACTACAGGAGGCTGTGGAGATAAGGAGACATAAACCAGCAATGAATAGTGATCAAGGTGTATACCTGCCAGGTGCGTGGGACCTCTTGATTAACTTTAGATAAAAGAAAAACGAGTCAACTATTCTTTTTGGAAAGCCTGCTATCAAGTAACTTTTGTGTAATTAGCAGTTGTTGTGTATTGACAATTCAACTTTCAACTCTATTATTTAGCATGAATTTTCATCATTATGTAATTAACTCTTCAAACTCACTTATACAGTACTCTCCCTAGTGTACTGTGATGTCACTTGCATTGTGACGTCATAACTCAGTTATGACGTCATAGTGACGACGTCATAGTCCTAACTGCCAGTTCACCTGATGAAGGGACCTGGAATGGTCTCGAAACGTCGTGAGAGAAATTAAAGAAGAAGTTTAATCCATAAAAATATCTTGGACATCAATGTACAACTTCTAAATGCCACTGAAAGACATCATTAGTATTCTGATCAAAGTATTTATGCACAAACAGTAACAAACTCATAATTAGTGTTAAAATATACCACTAACCACTAATATGAAAGGTCTACTCCCATTTGTGAGAACTCCCAGTTGTGAGACTCCCAGTGATGAGACAGTGGAGTAGGTAATTAACAACGAAAGCACACGATACTCCCCAGTCTGATAGAATGGATTCACCTTAGCTGATTACTGATTTGATATGTAACTGAATCTTGTGGAGGTAACCTAATGAAACTTTAAAAGACAAATTGTTTAACATACTCTGGTAAATGTCTTTAATAATTAGGTAACTTCGTGATCAAAGAGTAATTAATTTACCTACTCAGATTTATTCCGTCTCCGAAACTACAAGCTATAGTTTAAGAAATAACTCTGAAATAACTCTGAAATTTACAGTCGAAATGCCCCTTATGCCAAACCCTTTCTACCTGACACAATAAATTTATGGAATGCCCTACCAAATTCCAAAGAGTCATGCAGTCTCAAAGAATTTTTAAACCTAATTACAAAAAACCGAAAACAAGATTTATATTGATCTTAATTATGGCTCTTGTTTTTGTCAAATCGTTCACTGCTGCCTCAGGCTCGGATATAGCGACACAAACGCCGATAAGTATAACAGACATTTAATAGACATGTTGCTATTGTGGATGACAACTACCCGTTATAACCTGGATAATATTTTGAACGGAAACAAAGAATTCACTCCTTGTGTACACCTGAAAATAGTTGAATCCGTCCATGATTATATCATCAAGACACAACCTTCAAATTTTCACAGGGAAATACTGAAATTAACTCAAAAACCTTCTCGTGATTGATTTATATTCCTACAATAGCTCGTTAGACACACACAACTTTAAGTCTCTAATTGTGACTACTTAGCAAATAGTTGTATTTGATGTAATCTGTATATATATATACATATGTACTTAACAATATATTTCATTTTATATTTTATGTTGCATGGGAGCGGTGTTAACATAAGCAGTAATACTTCACCAATCCCAGTTCTCACAAATGAGAGGACACCATGTGAACACATCTCGTTAGTCTATGGGACAGGTCTATTACGTCAGTGGGTAAAACTAGGTTGTAATCACAGTCACGCCTGATTGATCCAAAGTTGTCTGATAATTGGCGTGTCTGACAAATGGGATGTCTAACTTATGAGAGCAAAAACATGCATGGAATAAATTTGCAGGTGTTTAAAGCAGCGAACAGGCAATTGGAGACACCCTTCTTCAGCTCGGTTAAATGTGTGTTTAGCAATAATAAATCCTAAATAAAAGAAAACCCAACTTGCTTATATGTACAGGACGTACAGGAGGAGCTATCGGGGTAGGTTTGTATGTTGAGGTATAATATCTTCTTATAAGTTTTCATTACTATCAATGCGTCCCACTAATGTCCATCTCGTTAAACAACACAATAAAAATACAATTATCATAATAGACTCACTCAGCGGGCCCCAGCCCTTAAAACACCAAAATAACCAATCGAAATAAATAAATGACATACTTAAAAGTACCAAGAATCTGCACGCCTCAGGTAAAAAGGTACAGTGCAAAAGTGGCAGAACCGGCAAAATAGTGCCAATCTTACTCTGCTCAATAAATCAGAATGGTCTCAGTGTTAGCATTGCCATCTTGTGTGTACTTTGCATGTTTATGTATGTGGAATTGCTTCATTTTTCTATTTAAATAGGGGTTTGGGGGACGTGGGGGATGGTACTCCCTAAAACCTCGGGCGAAGAAAAGCCGTGACGGGCAAACGGGAATTACAAAAAATGATCACAAAATCTTAAAACGAAACGTGCGAACCTGGGTAGGTACACCTCGCAAGTGTGGGGTTGCCGACGATAGAATTTATTCAACAATGAATACTATGACGACATACCGAGTGTCATGTAGAATAAAAACACTGTTGTGATGCTTTTTTTTTCCTTTGTGAGAAGGTTTGACAAGGCCTTAGGCTCCGGAGTGGTGACGTGTGACGTCCTGGGCAGGAAGTGAAAGTGTATTGACTTATTTCCTTAATTACCCAGTTGGGGATCCCTAATTGACCTCTATTTGTTCTGAAGCAGCATAGACTATTTATTATATTTGGAAGTAGTTATTGGCGAATGTCAATCGGATTGACAAGACATATTTCAATACAGTTAAAGCTCTCACAAAACTGTTTATGTTACAAGAATTACAAATGAAAAGTAATATTTCATATTCAACAATTTCTTAATTTTGACTGTTCCGACGGGTATGTTTTGATATTATCTGTGCGTACACGCATACCATTGAGGAGCCACATTTCCACTGAGTTATTTCGCGTGATGTACGTTAACAAATTAATAAATAAGCTACTGTACTGATGCTTATCTTGCTGTGATTTTTATTCTGTTTCATGAATCACTGTATCATTGAAGCAGCATGTCAGATACAGTTTCCAACACAAGGTAGTACCTTTGTGTTGTTCTGTGAAGCCATACACGTCGTCATATGAGCGAAATATTCTCAAACACGACGTTAAACCCAATTTCACCTCACCTGTGAAGCCATATCACATACAAATGATAGAACTCTGGATCATTCGCAGATTGTTGCAAAGCGGCATTTTTGACAATATTATCAGTCATCACTCGATCCTGAACTGGGTCACCAGTGTTATGCCCTTGGTGGTAAAAAACGATGCTTTTTCAGTGCTTCTGTATTCTCAAATCATCTACTATACAATATCACGTCATACTGTAGTTGGATAACTTGTTCCATGACATTACTTCTAATGTTATAAGTTCCTAGTGACTGCATATGATGATGATTATGAGTTTAACGTCGACTTCCCGCTGTAGCCAATGTCGCAGACGGGGTAGGTGGGAGCTGAAGTAATAATTAATTGTATAGCATAGTGGGAGCTTGTTTTAGAAACAGTTAAGCTGTTTATAATTAAATAATGGGTAAAGAAAGAAAAAGAGGTTAAACTGGGGTGGGGTGTGTGGGTGGTATGGGAGCATTGAAGGGGGCAAGGCAGGCTGAGCGAGTGTAGTAATTGAGAGGCACACACATACACAAGTATATACCATAAAAAAAATATAAATAAAAAGGTAAAAATTAAAAAAAAAAAATTTAAAATGCATTAACATATCATATGAAAATATATACATACAGATAATACTTAAAAGGTAAAACATAGGCATACACAATTAAAACATAATTAATTTATACGATAAAAAGTATACACTCAGAGAGGAGTTTTAAGAATATAGAAGATTACGACGACGCTTAAGTATATTAAAACAGGCTTTGGCACATTTAACCATTAAATGGTTATGACTTAAAATCGCTGTGAACTTCACACTCTCTGGCCACAGAATGAAGTCGGTAAAGAAGGAGCTGGCTTCTTGTATCAGATCATATCTTAGATCGTCGTATGCAGGGCACTGTAGTAGGACGTGACGCTCGTCTTCGATACAGAGGTTACTGCATAGGGGACATAGGCGTTTGTCTGGGGGGAGGTTTTCGTATCGGCCTGTTTCTATTCTAATTGGAGTAACTCCACACCGGAACTTGGCGATAGCCGCGCGGAAATAGCCTGGTAGTCGTGTTAATACATAGGATTCCGTTCCATGGGCAGTTTTAAAAGTGCAGTATGTGCGTGGTTTTCCCGTATTTGATTCAATTCGCCGGCACCAGTTTTTAGTGTACTTATGTTGGAGGTTTTCAGTTAAAGTTCTTATTGATGATAGCTGCACCTGGCCAAGTGATATCAGGGATTCACAGTTGTTCTCACTCAGCAGTCTGTGGACTCTAAAATTCCAATTCTTGAAACGGAACGATGCCAGTTTCTTATCCCATAGAAAGATTCGTTTGTTGAGTCTCTCATCCTTCATGTTCGTGAGTCTACACCACTGTCTCAACACCGCTTGACTCTGGTTTATGCCTACAGGAATCCATCCTAGCTCTCCGAGTACTGCATCAGTTGGGGTATACCGCCCAACTCCCAGGAAGAACCGACCTGCTCTGTTCTGGATAGCGTTGTTGATATACGAAAAGTCTTTCTGACCCCATATTGCAGCTCCATATGTAATAATTGGCAAGACAAGATTATCATACAGCTTGGTGAAAACGTTGAAGTCAACTCCTCCAATTCCTTTACACTTTGCAATCACCAGCCCCAGTGCTCTGCTTGCTGCCTGAGATACTGCTTTAGCTGTAATCCTTAAGTCAAGATGTTCGTCCAGAAGTAACCCTACGTAAGTACACAGGGGTTTGTATTGCTGAAAATAATACGTCCTGGGTCCTGGAGAGCGGAAGGTCGCGGGTTCGATCCCCGACTGCGTCATACCAAAAGACGTTAAAATATGGTACTTGTTGGTCCCTGCCTGGCGCTCGGCATTAATGGGTACAACAAGGACTGGTCGGCTCGGAGTCAGTATAATGTGTCTGAGTGGGGTATTCATGCTTCACTGCGGCATGGTATCTCAGTGGGCTAGCACTATAAAACCAGCTTCAGTCTGGGCTAGTACAAGCACATGCACACGCATGCACGTCGTCATATGAGCGAAATATTCTCAAGTACGACGTTAAACCCAATTTCACCTCACCTCACCAAAGCATGAATTCTGAGCGAAATTAAACATTCTCGCCCATGGGCCAACATATTTTTCGCCCATGGGCGAGATTTTCTAATATCGCCCTAAGTTAAGTCAAAATGAGTTGAAATTTGTGTCATGATGCTTGTAAACATACAACCTCCAAAACATGAATTCAGAGCAAACTTAAACATTCTCGCCCATGGGTCGGCCCATGGGCCACTGTTCGCCCATGGGCGAGTGAGTTTAAATTTAAAGTTTTCGAAAAAAGATTTTTTCATTTTTGCATCCTTGGCATATATTCATAACAACTGCATGTTTAATTTTGTCAAATCCCTTGTCAGAAAGTGCCCACAGTGCGGAGAGTTTCTGGACTTTTTGTGAGTCCAGAATTAAATTGTTACGTGTTAAATGGACTTTCGAACGCGCCTTCTCTTTCGTCAGCCCACAACTCTGGAATTCGCTTCCCCAAAACCTCAGAAATACAACCACTAAAGACACCTTTAAATCACAGCTTAAGACTCACCTGTTTCTATATGTGTACCAGTAGATAATCATTCTCTATTTTATGTATATATGTTCAGTTTTATCACTGTATTAGCGCCACTGAACATCTGTTAGTTGGATATTAGGCCCTTTACAAATGTATTATTATTATTTAATCTGAAAACTATATCTCAGGTGGGCAGTCATTGAATCTGAAACTGTTTTAATATACAAACCGCGAAGTTCTGAAGAGTTTGGTCTTCGAACATTTGAAATAACTGGCTGTCATGGATACTAAATAAATGCAAAAAATCAACGATTCAGCGGAATATTTCTAAAAATAGCAGCTGTTCTAACTGTATCAGTTTTCGGTAAACAAAAACGGCACTTTGGCGACGGAAGATAATTCTCTTAAAACATAAACTTAATTTACATTCCGTCAAAGGTTCATCTGTTCTAACGTTATAGAAATGTTCACCTAGGGGAAAAAGAAATAGGGCAATGATTTAACATGCAGACAAATGAAAGACATTTCTTAAAAAATAAATCGAGTTCCTGGACTGGCGTGTTAGATTAAAGATCTTCAGTGCATGAGCACTTGCGGCTTCCCATGTATATGTTCACCACCACCAATCACTCATCATGCTGCCAACATGGCTCGTAGAACTGTCGCTATTCTAGAAAAGAAATATCAGTGATATTTTAAAAAATACATCCATCTTTCAAAATTCGTTACTCAAAAATCCGTCCCCTGAAACCCTCTTCAAATGTTCTTTGTTTGAAAGGAACTCATCACCAGTGCACGTGTTGACTTAGTTAACCCTCCCGACCCTGCAACAAACATATCCCAGAGAGCCCATGCAAGGTTACATGGCTCCTTCTCATTGTATACTAGGTGGTTTTTTTTGTTTTGTTTCTTTTTTGTTGTTGTTTGTTTGAGTTTTTGTTTGTTTGTTTGTTTTTGTTGTGGGTGTGTGTGTGTGTGTGTGTGTGTGTGTGTGTGTGTGTGTGTGTGTGTGTATATGAACTGTTTTCTTCAGTAAAATGTGTTTATTTCAGAGACTAGTTGTTAGTCTAGTCTTGACTCGCAGAATTACCAAGGTAGTATGTAGGTGTTTTAAGATCACTAACGGTTATTACAGCTATCTTAATAGCTAAGAACATTTGTTTGAACTAAAATGAAGATGTTGCTCTGCATGTTTTGATTTTATGTTGGTTCTAAAATACCATTGTTGTAGTAAGTATCGCCATAAACAACAAATCACTCGAGTCGAGGCACTTACACAAAAATAAGAACCCTCGAGCAATAAACGAGCTGGAACACAAAACCTACAGCTGATATATAGACGTTTAAGTGGTTGCCAAGGTGACAGTGGGAAAGGACAAGTAAGGTTGTCTCTACTGGAAAAGAATCCACCGTTTTTGTGGAATGGCATCAGTACATTCTCTGACGACTGTGGCCTTTCAGTTGCCGTACAATTAAATAGACAAAACAAGAAGTGGGCAGCTCCGACTCTGCAAAGTGACAGGACTATAAACTGTTACAATTCTGGAAGTCGGGACTAAACTGAGTACACACAAGAACAGACACACGAACGCGCACACGTATACACACACGAACGCAAAACCGTACATGTGTATTCGATGACACACGCGCGCACACACAAGCACGCGCACCACAGACAGACGTGCGCGTGAGAACGATAATCATTTCTCTAGACCCGGTATCCGAAAACAGCCGATCATTCAACACTCCGGTATAAACGTCATTCATTAACCGTATTTTCCGCCTATATTATGGTCGGGCGGTTCATATACAAGATGCAATTCTGTCTGCACCAGCTAGTTATTGATGTAGAATCATATGGCTGTCTGCTTCCCATCGATTCCTATGTAGTGCTGGCAATAACTAATGTAGTGTTTACACTGGTAATCCTCTCTACCGTTCAGGGATCCACAACTCGTACTATGTCAGTGTACAGGAGAGGGCAGGAAGTGCGCATGCGAATTGTACCTATTTAGATATTGTTTAACAACCCCAAACACAATTTCAACAAAAATGGAAAAATGGCTAAAGTCATATTAGCACCTATTCATACTAATTCGCCTGACCTCACGTTCCTATGAAGAAAGTAAACACACTTTGAACACATTTCAATATCCCGACAGTCACTGCGTCCAATCAAGCCAATATTTAGTACACGTGTATCTTTACACACATGTTGCTGATGTAGTTTGATACAGATGATACAGGTTGTCAGTAAGATGACCTTTGGATAAGGGGGATAATATAGGAACATTAAGTAATGAAAGTTCTTCCAGAAAAGAGGTTTAACTTCAAACGCCATATTATTCCAACACCAGCAAAAGATACCTTCTCCTATGAAGGCAGCAGATTTTAATCTGGGCGAGATTTGTAGGAGAGGTCCATCCTGGAACAGAATTGATCCAGAGGATCCAGAGATACATGCATAGTGATCGCCGTCCGGCGAATGACTGCGCATCATCTTGCTGGTTCAGTAGGCATTTCAAAGGAGAGAGCACTGCCTGTTCTCACAGAAACTTTGTCAATGAAG